ATCATGAGAGGATGCTGTGTTTTGCCAGATGCTTTTTTCTGTATCTATTAAAATGATCATGTGATTTTTATCTTTCATTTTATTGATGTGGTGAATTACATTTATTGATTTGTGTACATTGAATCATTTTTGCATCTCAGGGATAGATCCCACCTGGTCATGCTGTATAATCCTTTTAATATGTTCATGAATTTGATTTGCTAACACTGTTTTGAGAATTTTTGCATTGATATTCATCAGGAATATTGGTCTATAGTTTTCTCTTCTTGTGGTACCCCTGTCTGGTTTTTTAATCAAAGTGATGATGGCCTCATAGAATGAGTTTGGAAGCATTCCCTTCTTCTTAATACTTTAGAGGAGTTTGAAGAGAATTGGTATTAATTGTTCTTTACATGTGTGGTAGAATTTTCCAATGAAGCTGTCTGCTCTTGAAATTTTTTGTGTTCGGAGTTTTTTTTTGTTTTGTTTTGTTTTTTACTGATTCAATCTCTTTACAGTTAGTTAAGCTACTCTTTAGCTTTTCTATTTCTTCCTGATTCAGTCTCCTTATGTTGTGAGTTTCTAGAAATGTAGTCATTTTTCCTCAGTTACGTTATTTGTTGGCATAGTTCATAGTAGTCTCATGATTCTGTGCATTTCTATAGTATCTGTTCTAAGTTCTTCTCTTACATTTCTAAATTTTTTATTTGAGTTTTCTCTATTTTTTTAATTAATCTAACTTAAGGTTTTCCAGTTTTGTTTATCTTTTTGAAAAACCAGCTCTTAGTCTCACTGATCCTTTCTATTATTTTTCTGGTTTCTATTTCATTTATTTCCATTCTTATGCTTACTTTTTCCTTCTTTCTGTTAACTTTGGGCTCAGTTTGTTTTCTTTTATATAAAATTTGTTGTTCGAGATCTTCCTAATTTCTTATTATATGCACTTAATGTTATAAATATTCCTCTCAGAACTGCTTTTGATATATCCCACAGTATTCGATGTTATGTTTTCATCCTCATTTGTTTTGAGATAATGTTTTATTTCCCTTTTGATTTCTTCTTTGATCCAGTGGTTGTTTAGAAATGCGTTGTTTAGTTTCCACGTATTTTTAGATTTTTCCTCTTGTTGATTTCTGGTTTTATACCATGTGGTCAGAGAAGATAGTTGTTATGATTCAGTCTTCTTAAATTTCCTAAGATAAGTTTTGTGGACTAAGATAATCTATCCTGGAGAATGTTCCAGGTGCACTTGAGAAAGTGTGTATTCTGTCACTATTGGGTGGAATGTTTTGTATATGTCTGTTAAGTTCATTTGTTCTAAAATATGTTCCAAGTTGTAGTAGCTATAGTTCTCTTTAATGCTCTTCTCCTTTAACCTTTACTCTGTAGTTAAGAGGTTAATAATTCTTCTAAAGAAGAGTTATTGTATTCTAATTCTATGTATAGCCTTAATGAGAGTTTTGAGTACTTTCCTCTTTTTCTTTCAGCCTGAGAAGCTCCTTTCAACATTCCTTGCAGGGCAGGTCTAGTAGTAGTGAACTCTCTCAGCTTTTGTTTGTCTGGGAAAACCTTTATTTCTCCTTCATTTCTGATGGATGACTTTGCCAAATATTCTTGGCTGATGGTTTTTATCTTCCAGTACTTTGAATATGTCATTCTTCTCTCTCCTGGCCTGTGGAGTTTCTGCTGAGAAATCTGCAGATAGCCTAACAAGGGTACTTTTGTAGGTTACTGTCTCCCCCCTCCCCCCGCTTCACTGTCTTTAAAATTCTTTCTTTCTTGTTGGCTTTTGACAGTTTTAATATAATGTGTTTTGGAGAGGGTCTTTTTGCATTGAGATAATAAGGTGTTCTGCTAATCTTGTGAACTTGGATGTTCACAGTTCCTCCCCCAGGAGTGGGAAGTTCTCAGCTCATTTCTCTAAACAGTCTCTCTTCCCTTCCCCTCCCTCCTCCTTCTGGGATACCCATTTTTCTTATGTTGGCTTTTCTAATAGAGTCAGATGATTCACATGATTTCTTCACTATTTAAACATTTCAGTTCTCTTGTCTCTTATGCCAGAATATTTTCTATATTTCTGTCTTAGAACTCTCTTCCATATGATCTGCTGTATTTCCAGAACATTCTAATGCATTCTTCATCTCATTTATTGAGTTCTTCAGCTCCAGAATTTCTGTTCTGTTCTGTTCTGGAATTTCAGTCTCTTTGGTAAAGCATTGCTTCTGTTTATTAGTTTTATTGCTGAGATCACTGTATCATATAACTGAGTTTTCTTGTGGCTTGTTGAACTTCTTTACAACAAGTATTTTAAATTATCAGTTAGGTTACAATATTCCATATCTTTGGGTTTGGTTGCTGGAAAATTGTCATTTTATTTTTGTATTACCATGTTACTGTGATTGTTTTCATATTACTGTGATTTTTCACAGTGTTTGAAGAGAAGTGGTTCTGCCACTGCATTTGAAGTAGTGAACACCTTTTTTATGTAGGCAAGGTTTTGTTTACTTGGATTCTAACAGTTCAACAGGTCTATAGTTAGGAACCTTCCTTTTGTTTTCCAGAAGGTGGCGTTATAGCACAAGTTTTTGGCTTCTGATAAGGGATCTGCAGGTCTACTCAGGTTGGGAGCACTATTCCTTTTTAGAAAAGCAAAAGGTTGGGGCAGAGCAAGGGTGAGTAGGGAAGGTGTGTACTCAGTGCTTGGGGCACTGCTCCATAGGGGTGTGCCAACTGCTCCATAGGGGGATCCTGAAGTGGGGATGGTCCTCTTTCAGTCTCTCTTCCTCTCCCCCATCCCTGTGGTCTCCTCAGAGAGAGCAACTGGTCCCTCCAGCTGGGAGGCACATAGCCAGGCGGACCACCACTCACTGCCTTCACCCTCCACCCCTCTGGCAGAAAGGTGGTGCTGACTGCTTGTTGGGGCAGCCCACCCTTTCTCTGCCACCACCCCTCCCTCTGCAGTCGGGTCCACTCACCTTCAGGTGCACAGATGGACAGATCTCTTGGCTGTCCTGGTATGCTGTGTTGTGGATGTCCAATTAGTTGTACATGGTAGGGGAGAGAAAAAAGGAATGACACATGCTGCTGTGATGCTGATGTCACTCCATAACAACCCACCAATTTTTCTTTATTTTGGTTATGTTCCTTAAGCATGGTAGGAAAAATAAACACCTCTATGTCCTTCATTCAAAAGTTGTTTTTAATAAAAACGTTTCTTTTTAATTTCTAAATGCTTTTCCAGCATCTATAGTGATAACTATATTATTGTTTGCCTCTATGGCTATCGTGGATTGTATTGGTAGATTTTTTTCTAATATTGAACCGTCTTTGCATTCCGGGAATACGGTTAGCTGCCTTTTAATGTGCTTCCTCATTCTGAGTAAATCTGATTTAAACTGTACATTAATAAGTGAGTTTGTTTTTAAATAAATGAAGTTTTTCTTCTTTTAATGTTCTGGATCAGTTTAATTACATTGGAATTATCTTTTCCTTAAAGGAATTTCTTGTAGAAAGTTTCCTGTAAAATTGCCTGGGCCTGGTGTTTTTAAGAAAGAGCTCTTTGACACTATTTCCTCCCATCCTCCCTCCCACCCCTCCTTCCCTTCTTTTCTTTTCCTTTTTTTTTTAATGATAATTAGTACATTCATATTTTCTGGAGTTAATGTTTGTAATTTACATATTTTTGAAACATTACCCATTTTATCCTGTATTTTGAAATGTGGGACAATAAATTGAGCAAAGCAGTTTTTCTTTAAATTAAAAAAATTTTTTATTTACATTATATCCCCTTCCTCATTTCTTATTTTATTCATTTGGGCTTTTCCAAAAACCCTTTTTATCTTGATTAATTTGTTTTTCAGTTTATTTGTTTTATTGGTGTTTTCCAAACACAGGCTTTTGGGTATTTTTATAATACTCTTGTTCTGCTTTCTGATTCATATTATCTGGTTTTAATTTTATTAGTCTTTCTTTATTACTTTTTTTTCATTTGTTTTGTTCTTTCCTAACTTCTTTAATTGGTTGCTTGATACATTTAATTCATATTATTAATATAAATATTTAAGACTATGATTTTTCAGTGAGTACTGCATTCTTTGGGTTCTAGCAAGTAATACTTTCTTTTTCATCATTATCAAGATATTCCAGAACTTTAGTTTTATACAGGTTAAGTGATTCAAAAAAATGTGTAGATGGTACCATTCTAATTTTGTTATTAATTTCTAGAATTTTTTGTTTCTGTTTCTATCATTTTTTTTCTTTTGATCAGATACTGTTAGTGGTACGCCTGGGTGGCCCAGTTGGTTAAGCATCTGACTCTTGATTTCCATTTAGATCATGATCTTAGGGTCATGGGATCGAGTCCCAAGTTGGGCTCCACACTTAGTGGGGAGTCTGCTTAAGATTCTCTCCCTCTGCCCCTCCCCCTTCTCATGCTCTCTCTTTATCAAATAAATGAATAAACAAAACATTTCTTAAAAAAAGAGAGAGAGAAACTGTTAACACTTTTAGAATTAAAGTTTACTTTGTGGCCTAATGTTTATTTTTTTATTTTTAATTTTTTTTAAAGATTTTATTTATTTGTTTATTTAACAGAGTGATACACAGGGAGAGAAGGAACACAAGCTGGGGGAACGGGAGAGGGAGAAGTAGGCTTCCCGCCGAGCAGGGAGCTTGACTCAGGGCCGGATCCCAGGACCCTGGGATTATGATCTGAGCCAAAGGCAGACGCCCAATGACTGAGTCACCCAGGCGCCCTTGTAGCCTAATGTTTAATCATTTTTTGTTAGTGTTCTTTGTCGAGTTAAGAATAATTCATGCTGTCTCTTTGCAGGGCATAATGTTCTTTAGAAGACAGATCTGTATTACTATGTTATTGAGGTTTTATCTATCCTTGGAAAACTTATGTCCATCTCTTCCCCCCTTGGATCCCAGAATGCAGTGAAAGCGCACGCCCAGTGAAAGAAGGTATGATGTGGAACTCCCTGTGGTCAGCTAGAGTTGTGTTGTGTTCTGTCTTCTAGCCGAAGATCGCGGAGGAGAGCCTGACCTACGCTGAGCTGGAGCTGGTCAAACCCCACCGGGCTGCCAAAGGCCTCCCCACCAGCACCGTCTATGCCCAGATCCTCTTTGAGGAGAACAAGCTGTAACGTGGCGTCTTCTTCCGTGGTCCTCTTCCGTGGTCCTATTTAATACATGCCACCCCAGTTATTTATGATACCTTGGAAACAAAACCCTTATTTTTGTATTTTCCCTCGTGCCTCCTGTGTGGTGGGGTACGAGGCTCCTCTCCATAAAAAAGTAGGGGCCGCAGCCCTTGGATGAATCTCCCAGGACAAATCTCCCAGGACGGGACATGTCTGGGTCTGAGCCCCGAGCAGTATGGACTCTGATTCGGAGAGGACCCAAGGAGATTTTCTGCTGAGCCAAATCCCTTCATGTTTTCTTCTCCTTTCTTTGGGTTTTAATCTTTTTAAAAATCTTACTTTATTCTTCTACTCTTCCTGTATTTGTGATATCAAGCTCATAGTATACAGCTAGAGGAAATGCCATTATAGGCCCAAGTGTGAGATGGTAGACACGTACTAATTGTTTTTTCAGAAGGTCAGAGAGCATTTCTAGGGCACCTTGAGGGGAGCAAGCTGCTTACTGCAAACGGTCACTCAAGAAAGCATCTCTTGTTCCAAACAGATGCACTGACCCTGGAGATTTAAGGGCAGCAGCAGATTGTGGGGAACCTTGCTGTCTAAGCTAACAGCCCACTATCTCCAAATATGCCAGTGCCCATTTCCCCACCCGGAATCCCCCAAGGCTGCAGGGCGAGTAGCACACCATTCAAAAGGACTTCAGCACGGTGGACCTGCATTGCTATAGAAACTCTTGTTCTCCAGAAAGTTCTTACTGTTTTCCAAAGGAGCAAGGGAGGGAGCCAGCCATCCATGGACACACTGGTGGAAGTGGGCCTCTTAGAAGTGTGCAGAGTTACTGCTCTGATTGCATGCCCGCTCCTGTGTGAGCAGAGCTTTCGGCCTGGTTCCCCTGGGCTAGGAGAGTAAGAGGTGCAAGCCGAGCTGGAAAAATGTGTTTTAAAGACCCTACTGTTGTAGAGCACCTCTCCCAAGCCAACTTCACATGGGGTTTCTCACGTGTCTGGCTTGGGCTCAGGCAGGGATGCGGGTCAAGGAGATCTGTGCGGAAGTTGCCCTGTGTGACTGCTACAACACCCAGGATCTCCCTGAAGACGGAGACCTTCTAGAAGAGAGACATGCTGTTGACTGTATTGTTAAGGACACTTTTTGTGGGGTGTGCTCTGGGTGCTCACTTATAGCACACTGTAGAAATTGTTTGGCTTTGTAATGGACCATGTATATATGGTAAATTATATATTTTAAACACAACCTTGAATGTGAGTTGTGCCCCTCTGTATAGCCAAGTGAACTCGGTCAAGTGTCTTATTCCCTAATTACCTCAGACTCATGTTTGTAGTAAGGTGACCTAACCTGCCATAGAGTTCATGTAATGGGATAAGGACTACTCACAGATTCTGGGTAGAATACATTGCTTCCCACTACACTAGGTTAACGCTCATGCAACAGCCAGTACGTATCTTCAGAATGAAATTTCTTTTCAGTGTAAGGCTCTCCTTACCATAGCTTCAAAAAATAAATGTTTGTCCCTTAACTTAGCTCTACAGTAACACTCCTGAAGACCCATGATAGCTTATGAGTATCTCCTGTGGCTTATTGGAAAGGGTCCAGATTGGGAGCGGGTAGATTTTCTAGAAGCAGAAATAGCCTGACTTTACAAAGAGGAAGTCATTCTCTTTGGCCTCTACCTGCATCTCCTTCCCTTCCCCTCTGCCAAATTCCAAAGATAGTGAATAAACCACACAGCTTTTGAAGAAGAAATACCACTTGGAAGAATTCACTAGAACTTCCCAGATCATCCTTTATGGGAGCAGAATATATGGTTGGCGTACAATTCCTATCATAATTATCATGGACAGCATATCTTATTTTATTATGGCGGTGTTCCTGCAGAATATGCTTCTGTGGTGTTTTGAGGAAGGAGGATGACTTCTTCATTTGCACGAGGAGCCATACAGGCTAGTGGGACCCTGGGGTGCCCAGTGGGGGTGGAGAGTGGGGCACATGAAGAGAAGATTGTGGGGACAGGCAAGAGGGTAGGGAGCCCCCAGGCTTCCACAGAACTGAATTGAACTTCAGTCACCCTCAAACCTTCTCCTTAAATTCAGAGGGAGCGTAGGGCCATCATAGATGGAAATAAATGCATGCCATGAAGAAGGGCACATGTTAGAGCTGGTAGCTGCAAGTTAATCAAACAGGTCATCAGTCAAGAGTCACACTCAGACGTTTCCTCCAACATTCTGGTAACAGTGGCACAAATCCACCCTGGGCTATGGGACTGGGGGGCCAGCTGGACAGAGAGGATGACAGGAGCCTGCACAGACCATCTCCCCTACTGAAAATGCTTCCCGAGGGAATCTTGGAAGGTACCATCCACATCCAAGCAGAGCTCATCCCACCATTATCTCCAGAAGCAAACCATCCCAGTTCAGCTCACAACTAGAAGCAATGGATGATCTGTCCCTGGGGCTTCTTTGGAGAGATAAATCTCGACTTCATTATCATAGTAAACTTAGAAAATGGGTCTACTCATTATTCTCTATCAAATATGGTTGGCATACTTACCATATTTAGACATGACAATAACCATGCCTTAACATTTCTAACGATAAGAAAGGGGAAGCATATCAAATAGAAATTAGGAAAAGCTCTTCATCTTGCTTTTACTCTCAAGCGTCTATTGAAACAACTATATTAAAGCAGTCTACAAAGGGGACAATCGCTTGTACATTTAAGTGAACTCAAAACAGGAACCCATCGCTCATAGGTTCTCTAAAATTTGGTGGTGAACTTTGACCTAGGCCAGGCATTGCATGGAAACATGGAAACATGGCAGGAGGCAAGGTCTCCCGAATGGAAAAACAGCATCCCCATGCTCTGAATTAAAGCAGGTGTGGTGGGAAGGATTGGGATTTCTTTGGGATCATGTCTTCAATAAAACATCATGATTTTGTTAGCTCACAGGGTGAGTCAGAAAAAGCCAGCAGCCCCGCTCCCACCCTTCCTGATACTTGCTGGAGTGAAAATGACATGGGACCCTTGGCATTTCTCAGTCCATAGTCATCTGGGTCATCCCACACATCGATAAGCCCAAACACTCACTTGGGATAAGAACACTAAACCGGTTGATGCTTTTAAGGACGATTCACACCCCTGTTCAACACTCAGCCTTTGATATGCATGACAACAACCTAGGCTGGGCAGCTGGAGCTCATGCTCCAGGCCACAAAAAAAGAAAAAAAGAAAAAAAAGGTCCAAAGCTTGCAAGAAGCCTGGTCTGGACTAACCAGAATCCTTGGGAGAAACAAACCATCTTTCCCTTGGGAAGCAAAGCCAGGATGCCGCGTACCAGATCTGCCTCCAGCCATGTCTCTGATGAGTAGAGAAGCCTTCAAGAATGAAGGAGACTTTGAGAGAGAAGCAGGGAGGAAAACACAGAATCCTACCCCCAGACCCTAGAATCCCCCGGACTTCTCTTTCCTTTAGATCTTCTTTTGATTCAGTCAACTACCCCATTTTCCTACCTTCTAAGTCCTAGTTTTATTCAAGCTCATCCAGTTGCAATGGCGAAAATTCTGACTGCCATAGTATGCGTCCGAGTTACTTCCCAGGTCGGGAAGCAAAAGAGTTGCCCTGAGCCTCACTAGCCAAGGGGTCCACTTACATTATATCCTATGAGGGACTTGGAGCCATGAGCTCTGCTGTGCTCTGTACCTTTCCACTGAGCCTGCCTTCTCAGGACCCTGAAGACACTCTTCTCGATGGAGAGGGACTGTCAGGTTTCGGGACTGATCATCTCCTAATGGAGGTACCCTCTGGCTTGGAGTATGGACACCCGCAGGCCTGGCATAGTACTAAGCAGCACTGGGGACAATAGGAGAAGGACAAGGGGTAGAGATTCAATTGAGCCACATCACAGGGATACTGGAGGGAGTCTTTTGTGTGGCTGTGAAGTTTAGGGTGGCTTCCGTATAGAACATGATGACTTTCAGTATCCCTGTATTTCCTGGGGGAGAAGGTGGGACCCAGCTCTGTGTCATTCTTAGCCCATTACAAGGTAAGGCTGTTGGGGGATGGTGGGATATTGACTCGCCATCCCACCCCCTACCCCCACCCCATACACTGAACAGAAGCTAATCACTGGTGGGAAAACAAAGACATTCGCAGTTTGGAGGAAGAGCCTGCCTTCTGCCTTCTGCAAAGTTGAATGTGAGCTATGATGGAGTGTCCAGATAGGTAGGATAGACGAGGACTCCCTAAACTTTAACGCATCGCCGGGTCTCATTAAGCTGTGGATCGTGGTTCAGAAAGTCTCTGTGGGGCTCAAGAGTCTGTGTTTTTGACAAGCCCCCGAGGAATGTCCATGCTTCTGAATCCAGACCATGTTTTGAGTGGCATCAATGCAAACTGTTGGGAAATGTGGATCTGGAACCCCTGGAGGTTTGGGGGCTGTCCTCAGAATACAGGTCACAGCCAAAGCCTGAGAGTGAGCAAAATCCCCAGGGAGAGGCAGCCCAGTGTGGAGAGATGGTGCCTCGGCCTGAGTGATGGGGAGCTCCCCGCTGGCAGCTCCAGGAGCCGGTGAGGAGCCTGAAGCAGGCCAGGGGAAACCAAGCAATCAGAGGAGTGGGAGAGGGCTGGTGAAAACCATGTCTGGGAGTTTCTCGAAGAAGGAAGCCCTCAGCAGTGGGCACTCTGCAGAGGTCAAATAGAATAGAAGTTGAGCCTTTGCTCTTTCTGAATTAATTGTACATTTTGCATTTTTTAAAAATGATTTGTTTTGCTGGGGAAAGTGATTTCCCCAAGTACACAGGGCTGACAGACATTGGCACTGAGCCCCGTGTTATCAGCTCAGCGGATTTTCCCAGAAACAATCAGTGTCTTTCCATGGGGTGGCAATTTGGGGAAGACTCTTAATTAATGCCTGGGTGGGGTGGGGGGGACGGGGGCCACTGCAGTTTTCTGCTCCTTCTGTTGTCATTGATAAAAGATGACTTGGCCTCCACTTTCTAATAAACACAGCTCGATTAGCTTCACACCAATTTCGTGTCTGATTGTTAAACATTAATGTACTGGACCCTATAGTTTTAAATAGAATTAGAGATGTTTACAGCTTTGGTTAAATGCACCTTGTTCTTCCACATTAAACTTTATTACAAGTGTCCTCCATCACAAACAGGAGAAAAACTCATTAGCAGCTGGTGGGGGGTGGGCGTGGCCATGGCTGGTAGAACCGGCATTTCGTTTTCCGTTATTACAGCTCGCTAGCAGGTCGCTGGGGATGCTCCCTCCCTATGCATGAGGATGATTAGGACCCCAGACTCCCGGGTCTATGGGGGGTGGGATCTGAGAGAATCCATGGACACCCAGGAATTTTTATGCAGAATTCTGTGTTGCCTGATGCCCTCATCAGTTTTCTAAAGGAATCATGCTCCACGTAAGACGGGACCTTTAGAGACTTTTTGCTAGGGTCCTAATGGCAATGCCCCTAGGAGCATCATGATGAAATCTGTTGTTTTATAGCTGGGGAAGGTAAGGATGGGAAGGAGCTGCTAGTTGGCAGCAGAGCCCAGTGGGAATCAAACCTGGTGACTGTCCCCCCTCAATATCCTCACACAAATCCCCCAATTCCACCCCCAAGCTCTGGGCCCAAGCAGCCTACCAGTTGGAGTGCTGGACCTGGGGTCCCTGGCCCTTCTCCTGAGCTCCAAGTCTACCCACTAGCCCTTTCCCCCCAGCACCACCCGCATCTCTCAGAAGCCGGTGTCCATGGCTGACCACATCACGAACACCCCAGGCCCCTCCCCAGCTAGCCGTGCTGCTTAAGATCACCACTGTTCATCTCCTCAGACTGGAAACTAAACCAGGAAATCGTCAGTGGAGATGTGGGTCAGGAGCAGCAGCTGCAGACTTGTTGCTGACTTTTAGAGACAAATACCAGGGGCCAGGCACCCTACTGAGCACATTTTCTGAATTATC